AATTACTAAAAAAAATAGGAGAGTGGAATTATTGTTTTCTTTTCATTGATATAACTAAACTCATTTTACCTACTACCTTAGCAGCGAGGACTAGGACTCAAGTCTCCTCCTGGATGACCAGGTTACTTACTTCCCTCTGATTCAAGATCTAAAAACTACTAGTATAATAAGATAATTAGTGAATAGTTATAGCAATTAACGCGAACTCCTCCAAGGGTAGATAGTAAGGAAAAAACCCACGAACTTCTCTAGACGTGTAGATATTTAGCATCAAATCATGAACTAGACACCATTGATGCAACCACCCTTTTCATAGTTCCTCACTGTCCTAATTCGATCAGTGAAGAGTTTTGCATTCAATAAAGTGAACAGAATGATGTTCCAGCTGAAGTAGTTATGAGTACTAAAGTAGCCTGCTGTTTTGAAACAGGAAATTAGGTAGATGTCACTAGCTAGGCTTTTACTTCCATGTCATGAATAAGCTTTCTTATAAAAGATGTTGTCCCTTACAAAAATAGAAAAAGGCAACAAATTTCCACAACATCTGAAGTTCAGACCAGCCTTAACACGCTCATCCCCAAGTTAATTACTCATGCAGTCAAGCATACAAGGCTAACACAAGAGATAAATACAATACAAGAAACACCAAATACACAACAAAATTTTAAAAAAAAAAAATTACTACAAATTAGTGAAAGAGAAAAAACACATTTCCAATATAGCAAATCAAAGTATAGCCACAGCTCAAGTAACGGCATTCCTATTCCGCTCGGCTAATTTCGAAAACTACAGTATATAACAGCAAGCATAATTCAACTCTGATACTGATAAAACGATAGAGAACAAGAGTACCTTTAGGAGCCATTGCTGGAAACTGCCACACAAATCTTTTACCTAATCAAATCACCAAATAATTGGAAATTTGTTTCAGAAAACACTTAATCCTTCTCTAGATCTATGTAAATAAAGCTTGACTACCGTTTATCGGCATGGTACAACAATTCGGAAATCCAATCGTGGTAGAAGTTTACCTGAGGGGAGGAGCCCAGTGTCGACGGGAGGAGCTGAGTGTTGGTGAAGCGGCTGATAGGGTTTTGCGAATGGCAAGTAGTTATAAGAGACTTACGTGGTGGCAAGCGACACTAGGGCTAACACGTAATGGGCTACACGATATGGAATTGACAATATGGGCTTTACCTCCGTAGTCTGCAACCCTGATCTCCAGCCCAGAGTTATTCCATCCAGACTTTTTTCACATTTTTTCTCAAAAGATAATAACTTTATTCGAGTTTGTTATTTTATTCAAATTGATTATTTGCATATGATATTAGTTGGATCCGCGAATGGAAAATTTGCTATTCATTTGCATAAAATAAACTTCTCAGTTCTAATAAGAAGCATTCAAATTACCTAACCGGCTGTCTTTCGAGTTTAATAAGACCTAAACGGTAGCAGCTCCATAAATAATTGGCGCAAGCTCTGCCATTTTAAGGCACATAAAAATTTGTCATTTGAATTTTTATTTTTTATTACCATCAGTTTCTTGTTTCAATTAGTGATTGTGTCTAACTAGCATCTAAAGTACAAAAATTAGATAAACTTGCTTTTAAACTCATGTAGACATGGATTGTCATTAGAGTTGTTAAGTCAATCGAGTAACTCGAAATCTCATTAGAGCTCGAGCTCGAAACATGCTCGCTTAGTTAACGAGCCGAGCACTCGGCTCGTTTGATACTCGAGTAGCTCGTTAGAGCTCTTTAATGAAGGGTATATTTGTCATTTTAGAAATTAAAATTATAAAAATAAAAAATTATAGGTTTTTATTAAGGTTAATTTGCACGAACTCGAGCTCGAGCTCGTTTGTGATAAACGAGTCAAGATCGAGCTCGAGCCACATGTACATTTAACGAGTCGAGTTCGAACACATTTTAAAACTCGAGCCAAATACTCGACTCGATTAACAGCTTTAATTGTCATCATTAAATAATTAAAATTTATAAACGCATATCCTCTTATCAAATTCTTAAACTAATCCAAATGTTGCACACCTGGAGGACATAAACAGTCTTAGCTCAGTGTTTAGGAAAATGCTCATTTGATAATCCAAATGTTGAACATAGTAGTTTAAGTAAAAGATTGAGCAAACTTGCTCAAAACAAATCTTTTGACGAGAAATTCTTAGATTTTCAGTGTCTTAGTACACTTTTGTACAACTCAACTTGAGCCCTTGCTCAGCATGTAATTATACTTTGGTAATGAATAAAATCTTCTATCATTTTAGGCCAAAAAAAAAAAATCATGGATCTAGATATAGTCATGGTTTTCAAAATTGTCTGACTTTGATTTAAAAATCGATCGCTCCAGTTCTTCTAAAAAATGGAATATGAACTGGACTTTATAAGGTAGATTATAGTTACGATTTTTGAATCTTTGATTCTGATTTTGTTTCGATTCCTGTTTTATTCTGGTTACAAGTTCGGTTATTTGAGGTTTGGGATCAGTATTGATTGGGTATTTTTCAAAAATTTTATTGCAATGATATATATATATATATATGAAAAACTTTTATGTCCGATGGTTAAATATTTTTGAGGTGTTCTTGAGATTATTTTTGAGAATATATTTTGAGTTTTTTTAGAATTTATATATTTTTAAAAAAAATTAAAAATACGCTACCAACTACCGCCGCTTCCACCGGTACGCCTCTTTCCAATCGCAACCAGAGGGAGCTGGAGCTCACCACCAGAGAGAGAGGGTCGCGGCCAAATAAAAAAAAAAAAGTAACAGAATCCATAACATATTTGAATTTCACCCCAAAAAACGAATGGTCATTTATATTTCGCAGTTACGCTAAAGCCAAAACATCATCGGCATGGCATTCTTTCACATTTTATTGAAATCCAAAATGAAGCATAAGGCACGTGTCAGTGTAATTTTTTTTAGCTCAAGGTGTTGCCACTTGCGAGACCACCAACGACTTTGTCATCATTTAACAGAGACGTTATACTCAAAGCCATATAGTATTTAACTAGGAGAGGTAAACCGCGCTTCGCGCGGTGGAATATAAAATGCGAATGCCCATGAAGGATTCAAATTATGTAAATAGGAGTTGGGATTGTTGATAAGTAAATTTAGATCAGAAATTATATTGGAAGTATATGTTTTGGTTAACAATCGAAAACCGTGGGAGAAATGTAAAAAGCTAACTAATTTGGTAACCAAATATTCAAATATATTAAAAGTGAAATGTATGATGCCATGGATACATGATTTCTATGCCGTTGATTCCAAAAATTAAAACAGCAAGGGTTGTACGGGACTGGGGTATGAATACAAGTATTTCGCCTTGGCGAAGACCATGATCATCAACAAATTTGTTCCAATTTTGGTGAAATCTGTTGTCGGTCATTCCAATGATATAGTTTTTAGTTCCACTTGTGAGGACCATAGTTGGGGTTCTTGATTCATGTAATCTTGGATGAGCATGCTCGGGAACTTCCTGGAAAAGAAACAAATTTGTGTAATAAAGATAAAAAAAAAGGAGAAGTAGATTAGAAAACCATGGATATGTTTAACAGGAGAAAGCGCACACCATTGAATACTTAGCATCGGAAGAAAAAATTTGGTAAAAAGCATCTAATGCCATAAGATCATGAGAAAAGAATCGATTGATTGACGAAGTGACCAAAGTTGCACTCGGCTAGCTTTTGATATCTTCTGTAATGAAAGGAAAGGATGTGTGAGTGCATATATAACATAGGAACACAGTATAAGAGCAATAGAATTGTAGCTTCCTTGTGAAACGAAGAATTCGTAAGGGATCATTGATAAGGGCAAGGTCCAGCGTGTCCAGATTTGTAGACGATTGGTCGAGAAAGCCAGTGCATCATTTATGAAATTTGATCTTTTTCGCAAGAAAAGCATGTCATTTAGGTCAATATAGTTGTGTTTGCAAAAAAGTTCCCATTCGCCTCCAAAACAATGATTTGTGATTTTTAGACTCCATTCAGCAAGGCCGTGTTTAACTGTAATAGCCTGTCCTTCTGCAAAGTTATTATATCGAAACATTTCCACAGGAATTTCCTGCGAATAGAAGAACACTTGGTTATTAAGAGCACATAACACCATATCTGGCCAGAATTGGTTATTAAGAGCACTTGATTCTCCATATCTGTGCAAAAGAGTACATAACACCAAGGCTGTCCATTTAATATTCGGGTAATCTTTGGAGGTTCTATGGAAAAAAGAAAAACAATTAGATTTTCATGTATTTTATAACAGTGGTATAATTAGGAAAGGATACTTGCCTTGGGGGACGAATGCCTGTGAAGAAATAAGGATGATATTTTGCAACCATTGTTTAACCGAAGCAAGTGAAAATAATGATGGTTCACCCATGTACGTAAATACCATGGGGAAAGCCTCTGCAAATTTTTTTTCGAGAGAGTATACTATTTTTCCCTCCTGGCTTTTAACACTGGTTGCTGCATGGATCTTTCTATGATCAAATGTGTGAAGATAAAACTTCACTTTATCAGCAACCCGAACTAACTCCCATCTTTTAAACGGATTTTTTTTCCCATTCATTTCCACCGCTAAGTATGTATTGGGAAATGTTAGGAAGGAATGCTAAGTAGTAAGGTTTGGAGAAATTGTTTACTGTATAAAGAGCTAGGTCTAAAGTTTTTGTTTGGATATTTTCGCATCGAAGCTGCACATTTGGACGCCTTGTTATGTAGAAAAAGGCTTAAAGAGGGAAGGAGCAGCTGGAAGGAAAGGAGAACACAAACAATGCATCAACAAGTATGAGTGACAATGCGACTGTGTAGCATTTTTAAACAATAAGTTGAGAGAAAGAGAGAGAGAGAGGCATTTAATATAAATGAGTTAGGTGGACGGTGGATGAAGCATTGGCTGAAATGCAAGTGTGAATCAATGAATATAGTTGTTGTGTTTGCATTAATTGGAATTGGGCATTTAGACGTTAAAAGCTATCAAGCTATTGACAAGAGTCATACAATTAATATATATAGAATTGCAGCAGATAATGTAATGACTAATAAGGGATAGCAATACTTGTCAGACATTTGTTCAGACGGTTGATAAAGCTAAGACTTCAAAAAGGTGGGTTATAAGTTCGAGATATAGTTTCAAAAGCTGCAGCAAAATGAATGCTTTAAGCATTAGCAAAAGACATAGACATCTGAATTCATAGCCAGAAAACTAAGGAACGAAAAGGCAATCAATTTTTCTTTGCCTTTTTGCTGATGGATGTCTCCTCGTCTTTAGATGTATTGTCATTTGCATCTTCAGATTGATCAAACTTTGTATCAAGACGAATTCGCACCTTTGATGAAGAAACTTGGTTTTCTAAAAGCAATTTATTGAGAAGTATCAGTGAACGTAATAGATTGAGGATGTGTAGCTGCAAAAGTTTTTTTAACACATACAAACCTGGTGCTACACTTGCTGGGACAGTATTGCCAACTTCCTCAAAACAAGTCTGGACATCAGGATTTGCAGACTTGTTAGCAGATTCTTCAGAGCTTACATCCTCAAAACAATAGACAATTGTATAACGCTGATGACCTCCTCCATCCCTGGTAGCTGCTGCCTTTAGCTGTATTATGAACATCTTTGATTGTAGTTCCTGATGGACTTTTTCTAGCGGCAATTATGCATTCTATATATAAAAGAAATAAAAGCGTCATCGATTTGTGCAAAATTTCTTTAAGGCTTTTTTATAGATATGTATCCAACCTCTTCGTGATAATTCATTGCTTTAAGTGCAGTAAATGTGAGCAAAGTTTCAGCTAAGTCATCAAACACAGATGCAGTGAGTGTATCAGTGTGGTCAGTGAGGTCTACATCAAAACGACACCTGCATGTAATAAAGCTCGAGTTAAGATTAGACAATATATTGGTTTTGAGAAAAACCTCTACGTTCACATAAAGCAATGAATTGCATGCCGAGATTGCTTTCCTGGGAGAAGCCTGTTGTTTCTCATTACAGTGATTGCAAGTGAACGTAGTTCCAAAGTTTGCTGCAGTCATGCGGTGGCATTTTATGCAATCCATGTAATAATATTTTTGAACAATGTGCTGGAAAGAAACCTGTGCCTTAACCCATGAAATCTAAAAAATATCAAAAATGAAAGAGGCAGGTTAGCTTTTTGCTGCATACCGGAAAAAGGGGAAAAATATAAAATGGGTACAAATGCAAACCTTTTGCGTTGGTACAACATCAATGATAGAAATAATTTTCTGGTGTGATTCGTGAAATAGCTGAGGACTTTGTTTAGCATGCATGTTATCCTGAAGAAGCCCCGCAAAGCTTTTTTCATTTCTGGCAGCCCTGTTGAAAAGCATGAACGCAAATGGTAGTACAAAATGATAAGTAATGGCATGTGAGAAGATCTGGAAAAAATCTCAGGAAGAAAAGAAAAAAACCAATGCTTTAGTTGATTAGCTTCTCTGACTGGTGGGTTGACAAGAATAACCGAGTCATTCCTAGTTGACAAAGCAATTCCAAGTAGACAGAGATAGCCAGACAAAGTATTAATACAAAGACAGGTGAGCATAACATTTAATTATGCATGACGATCAGCAATTATTCCACTTACCATTGTACATAACAACATTGAGCCTGTGACATATTACAACGGGATGCTTGTCTTTCAGATCAGTGATAGATTTTCCTTGATTTTCAGTGAACTCATTCCAAAGAGACAGCAGAATAGGATTCATTCTATGTAATAGCAAGAACAGAGAAATGGCTGTTATTTTTACAATGACGGGGTAAGTGTGTCAACTGTTTCCCGAGTCATAACGCAGCAAAGAAAGAACAAGAAAAGAGTTTACTCTTCATTCACAAGCCAAATTTTTTGCACCAGTAATTCATGTGAATCTTTATGGATTGGAATAATCGCCGATGCATGAATGACTATTCCAATGACATCTATATTAAGCAGAACAGGCAAGAAAAAATCAGATACAACTTTTCTTTCATATAAGTGCAATAGAAAACAAGCGATAAGGTGTGCTTTATACTAACCAATAGTTTCATATTTCATGTCTGCGTAAAGAGGCAGGTCTTTATAAGCCGTGAAATCAAAGTGGAACGGCAACACACTTGAATCAGCTTCATCAATTTCTTCTACAACTGTTTTGGTGCTTATAATCCACTGGAGCTTAAGTCCATCAGGTTGGAACCTTTCAGCAGCAGCCCTGACTTCAGCATTTGCGATGGATATTTTTTGTAAAGCTTGAGCTTCAGCATCTGGTGGAGTAGACTCTAGAATTTCACAAAGCTCCACAGCTGATATGTAATACTTCTTGAACGGCAGTAGAAGACCATCTACATGGGAAATGTCATCATCATAGACAACCGCAGCAACCGTAATACCCTGGAGGGGAAAAAAATAGACCAAGCTAAGTAAGATACAATGGAGAGGATCCAAAGAAGACATCTGCTGATTAAAGTAAATGGCAGAGAGCAAAACCTGGGAATCACCAAATTCAAAGCGACGGAATGCCTTTGAAGTACCATTCATTTGAACGACCCTGACACGATGAGACTCAAGGACGTGCACCAAAGTTTTCCAATTGACCGTAGTTTCACTAACCTCAGATATGCGAACAACTTGGGGGACAGCAGCAACAGGCAAAGACATTGTTCAATTTACGCAACTAAGTAAAAACATCAGATAACATCAGTGCATACACGGAGAAAAAAGGAATAACCCAAAAGGTTGGGGAAACAAAACAAACAAGTACCAAAGGTACAAGAGAGCAAACAAAAACAATATTTACAACAAACAACCAAGAAAAGGGAACAAGGAAAGAACACAGTTCCAGCATCAAAGCTCGAAAGTAGGGGAGGGAATGAAATAAAATCACCATCTGGAAAAAAGGAAATGAAACAAACAAGCAAAGGAGGGGAAAAAAAAGGGGAACAGTGAAAAACACAGACTGAGGTAACAAAACACAACAAAGACCCAGAAGGGAAAAAGAAGGGAACAATCTAAAACCCAGATGCAACAATAAAACATAAAAGCAGAATAAAATAAAATCAATATTTCTGTCCTAACAGCTGAAAACGAATAGGAAGAAAAGAAACCAAAAAAGGGACAAAATCAACTCAAGGCCGGCAAGACTGGGGAAAAAAGCTTCCTCGAGGCCACCTCAAAACACAAGCCGCCTGAAGACTGTGGAAAGAGACCAAGAGAAAGCAACCCAACAGGGAGAGCAAACAAAAACAATTTTTACAAGCAGCAACCAAGAAAAGGGAACAAGGAAAGAACACAGTTCCAGTATTAAAGCTTAAAAGTAGGAGAGGGAATGAAATAAAATCACCATCTGGAAAAAGGAAACGAAATAAACAAGCAAGCGAGAAAAGGAGGGATCAGTGGAAAACACAGATTGAGGTAACAAAACAAAGCAAAGACTCAAAAGGGAAAAAGAAGGGAACAATCTAAAACCCAGTTACAGCAATAAAACATAAAAGCAGAATGCAATTAAATAAGTATCTTTGTTCTAACAGATGAAAACGAATAGAAAGGAACGAAACTAAAAAAGGGGCAAAATCACCTCAAGGCCGGCACAAGCCTGACCTTCCCCGAGGCCAGCTCAAAACACAAGCCGTCTGAAGGCTGTGGAAAGCGACCAAGAGAAACCAACCCAGCAGAGAGAAATCCAGTGGGCAAAAAAAGGGGAATGGCTAACCCCAAAAAACGCAGCTGGAAGAAGACGCAATTAAACGAGTAAAAAAAGGAAGCTGGTAAAGCATATGGGAAAAGACCAGAAAAGGAGTAAAAAAAAAATAACAATAACAAGTCACCTGAAGGTCGGTGAGCTCGAGCAGGATGAAGCTCCGGTAGGGATAAGAGTGTGGAAAAGCTATCCGAGGAAGTGTTTTCGAGAGGCCAGCTTAAAACAAAAGGCAATTGAAAGAGAAGGCAATACAGCAGTGAGATATCCAGCGGATAAAAAGATAGTGAAACGGGCAAAACGAAAAAAAAAGGGGAAGCCATAAGGAAATGGCCGGAAGAGACGAAACTCCATTAAGGAAATGAAGATGGAATAGTTTTTTGCAGGTCATTGAGATGCGAAGACAATACACAGGAGAGGAAAAAAAAGAGGACAGAAGAAAGAGGAAAGGTCAAAAAAAAAAAAAAATTATAAACCAGCTAAGGAAGTACGCCGCGTGGGCTTGTAATTAAAAGAGAGAAAAGACACGCCTTTGGCACGTGACACCGACGACGAAAAAGCAAATGAACAGTAACGCCTTTGGCTCTTAGAGTGTTATGTTAATAATAAGTTTGGAATTTTTACTCTTATTTGAAAGTCTCCGCTAAGCCAAATAAGAACAGGCTCACAAGTCACAGCCGTAACCACAACTACAGCCTATGCGGTCTAAATCCAACTCATTTATGCCGCCACAAGTTGCTCGACTTTTTTCAACATTTCAGCACGGATTCAACGGTCAACCTTTTCCCAATTTTATTGCTTTCGGTTAACTTTTAGATTCTTAAACAAGTTCCAACGCTAGTACTTGTCCTTCTTTTTTCTCAAATAGGTTTCTATTCTGTGAAAATATAATTGGTTCAAGTCCTCAGTACATGACTGTGAAGAATGCAGAGATACATGCATGATTGTGTAGCGCAAAAAGTTTTTCTAGAAGAGTTACCATGGGGCTAACTTCTGGGAACAGCAGCCATTGAGAACACCAGCTGATTTCTGGGAAATAAATAAATGGCTGCTAATGATTCGAGACACTAATTTTATATAGCTGACAAGAAGATAGAGCTAAAAGCGAAAACCTACACCTCAATTGACCTATTATCCACAAATTAATGGAATGCCTCCACTTTTGTTTTCTACAGGGCAAACTACAGCTTTTTGTAAGTTTGCAGATTGAGTCCTAAAGCTTTTGAAGCAGTAGTTGCCAAGCATCACTGGTCAAGTAAAGTCGGACCTGAATGATTTGCTCTTCATTAATTTAAGAAGCAGCTGCTTAAACCTTCTTGCAGCTGGACCAGGCCTCAATATATCAACATCACCCCATTCCGAGCAAGAAACCCTGCCACTCCATGACCTTCCCAAGCACCATGCACCTGGTGCAGGCATTCCTTTACCACGATTGAGCACAACTGAGTCAATAACATCCATAATTGGATCATTTACTGAAAAATTTCCAGCAAAAGCTGCTCCGCTTGCCAGCATACTCCCAAAATCCATAGGCCTTCTGCTATGATGGCTTTCGGAACAAGGGGAGTTGCAGTCAGTGTATCGCAAATTTGAGTTGATTACAGTGCGAGAGAACTCTGAATTGCAAGCAAGGGTCTGGAAATAGGCTTTATGAGAAAGTCTAGTGTTTGAGAAGTATAATAGGAGTATCCTTGGAAAATTTTCCCATCCTAGGAGAGCAAACTGAACGAGTTTGTGATTGAGAATCACGTGTGGAGAACCTGGTAAAGATGAGCAAGTTTCAGAAATGTTAGTGTAGTGAAACAACTAAGGGACTTATAGAAAAGGCCATATAACTTATGATTGTCTTGGCGGTTCTCAACTTTTATTGCAGGATGGGAAATGACATGTGAAACAAAGAATAGCAGGGAAATGTGCACATTGCAAAGGGTCCAATAGCAACTTTCCCAGTGTTTAATCAGAGAGTCAGAAAGAAAACGTTCCTTCCTGTGCTAATTTGCTGATATTAATGAAATTCCTTCATGAAAGTGCTTGTTGGACAACCTCTAAGGGGCATAGATACATAAGTTGTGCTTCAAATCCATGACGATAAGAAGGGTTAAGGAAAATATCAAAAAGAAAAGGCCCGTACCTGTTAAAAACCTGAAGGCATTTGGTACCGTACGCTTTTCACTGCCCATGAACATTCTTCCTGCTGATTGAAGATAAAGGCGTGGATCAACAATCACGTCGGTAATCCTTTGATATCTGAAACATATGATCTAAACTTCTTATATACATGTTTTTGGATTAATAGAGCAGATAGATGGGGCATAGAGGTGCTTACTCCTGCATGGTGATGTTAGTCTCATGTTCTATGAAATTCAACTCTCTTGGTAAATATGACAAGATGTGGAGAAAATCTGCAAATATGAGAATATGATAACTACACTTCATCCAACATAAATTGACAGATTAGCTAACTAAGCATTTCAATTTCAATCATTCGACAAAAATATGTTTACAGAGATTCTCAGGCTTATAGAAGCATATAAAAGGCCAAGGTGTTGAATTTCCTATTTGATGGGAAAACAGAAGTCTTCTTTTTTTAAAAAAAAATTAACTGCTAAAATGACTAAAGGCACCAATTTGATTTTTGGACAACGTGCACAATCACTGGTTATGATTAACCACCCAAAAGAATCTAAAACTAAAAGCTAGACCTAAGATTGCTAGAGAAAGATTCAAGAGGATTACATCAAACTACATGAGATCTAAAGCAATTACGAGGAATATGTATCTAAGCTTTCAATCCACTTAAGCAGTAAAGTATGCAAGTTCAAAACTTTGCTAACCTTAACATGCAATGACTGCAAATTTACTATTGAAGTCAACCCTCCTTCCACTATCATATTGCAATTAAGTAACTCAACACCATGTCCAACACAGGAAGTGATCAATAAGTAACAGATCATCTGAACATTAGATAAAATAAACAGTTACCAAGAAGCTGAATATCTTCATGGAATGAGCTGGTTGATTACTATATAATTTCAGCCAAAATTCAGATTACAGTGCAAGTAAGGCCATCCACTTCCAGATAATTCCAGTCTCGAGACATACGCTTACCCGATTAGTCAGGCTTACAAAATATAAAATGAATAAAAAGCGCAACAATGCTGCATATCTTTGAGGACAAGTAGTAAAAAATTATGATGGTAAAGGATATTAAGATAATGGCGGTAATCAAATGAAGACAGTGAAGTCAAATGAATTGAAAAAGACAGGCCATCATACCATCCTGAGGAATGAGAGGATAATCGGAAGCAGCAAGGTTAACAAACCAATCCCAGTCTTTTTTCCACCTCAACAAAATAGCCGCACCATGAAGAATCAAAGCAAGAGGAGAGGAGCCCTCTTCGTTTACCGGGTTTGACTTCTTCATAACATTCACATTCCCAGCTGCAACGAAGATTTCAACAGAACCCACCATTCTAGCAAGCTGATCCCTCTGCTTATCCGATGCACGCCGGTCAAGGTGCAACAGATAGTAGTTTCTTGGGTGATACGTGGCATGAAGAAGCCTGAAGATTCCTGGGCCATCATTGTTTGTACCGGAAATGAAATAGGCTACTTTAGGCGGTGGAGGAAAGGGGTTTGGTAGGTGGGAAAAATGGTGGGGTTGGTGGTTGCCGAGTAGGCGGAAGAGTAGGAAGAGGGAGAGAAGGGAGAGGGGGAGGAGAGTGAAGAGGGGAATTTGCTTGAGGAGGATTGCCATGGGTATGACTTGCTCGTTGACTGTTTTCTTGGATTTTCAAGCAGACTGATGTAATGATGTAGATGTGCTCTAGAATCAAAGTGCTCTAAAAGTGCACTTTCATTTAGAAAAAAAAAAAAACCGAGAATATTGTAGGTAGGTGTAGAAAAATGGCCCAGCTATTTAACCGGCAGATTTCCCAGGTAGGGCTCTGAATCGGATTGAAGAACAGGTAAAAAGATGTCGGCATTGACTCAGGGCTGTGGTAAAAATTTAAAAATTGAAGGAGATAAGATAACCCTTCCGGCGCATGAAAATCGCAACAGTAAATCAGTACAGAAATGCAGTAATTTACCGTGCATTCTTTCAGGCCCTCGAAAAATTTTTAGTGGAACACAAATACACTTAAAACATGATGAAGATCTAAATCTGCAAATAGCATAAGGAAAGTTCAATTTGACGACGCAAAGATCTTGCAATTGGGAACATGAATTTCTCCTCTCAATTCTCTGTTAAACAGAGTCTGTTTTTCTATGCAATGACCAACAAAGCAACAAAATGATTTGATTCTGTTCAACAACATGAATAAAGATTCTGACTTTCAAAGTAAGCGAGGATGGAAATGCAGAAAATCGAAGGTGAAATTAAAGAAACAGTTACTAGAGTGGTACAATTGATGAGAACAAGAAGCCCCCAACCCCAATTAAAATTTATTAGCAAATTTATTCTGTCTCTGCGGAACTGTGAAGAAACAGGATTACGGGTTAGTTATACTTTTTAGTATTTTGTCATAAATGCGAAAGATGAACGCTTTGTCGAGTAAGAGGAGCTGGAGCTGCTGGTTGCATCCAAAACTCAAAATTTTGCGCTAATATATGTTCCTATTCCGTACGCAGCGTTGCATCGGCGAGTCCCCAGACATGAGGATTTGAAACTTATACTAGAATTCCACTTTCATTCGGAAACTTTAATAAAACAGAGATCCCAGTTTTACTTTTAGACGCTGGCCCGACTAGTCAGAATCCTATTTCGTGCCCCCTTGACGGGATAAGCTCAGATATGCTGCAGTATCCGAACAGCATTCGAGGGAAGTTGGTGGATCTTGGCATGGAACGCGTTAGGCGAAAACTAGGTATCTGTTAGTTACGACATATCATTGAATTTTAAGGTTGCCACTATGCAGCTTCACCAATAGATTCACCCTTCTTGAATTATAAGGGGCCTTGATTTGGAAGCCCTGTTTTCCTTTTGTTAGTCCACTAGAATTTGGTCTTCTGAATGAGAATAGATATTGGGGTGGAACCATGACTACGATTTTCTGCTCTGAATTCATTAAGGTGCAGAACTGGGAATCGGTTAACTGAATCCGCTTGTTGAATTCAGACAGCGGTTCAAATGTTGCAGTCAAGCAGTTAAGCTCCAGACCATTACCCAATATGAATGCAAACCACAAGTTTTACTCATGCTGACTGCCGTGGACGAAAACAATCAACTGAATGCTTCTCTAGGAGTGAAGGTGCCTAATTGGAGTTAGTCATATTTAAGCTGTTGAACGGTTTACTTATATATTTAAGCAATAGAAAACTGGTGTTTTTCTATTGAATCAATAAGGAAAATGTTGCATTCCCGTGAAGATGCTCTTGCTGTTATATTCTCGGAGTTGAATTTAATTTTGGTTTAGGAGTAGAATTTTGGATGAGAATTAATGCTAATGTGGAATA